TAACGTCGCTTTCGGATCCTTCTGGCAAGTTTCGAGGCTTTTGAGGGATTTGAGGGGTTTGAGGGGTTTGAAGGGCAGGCCCCGATGTCTTCTGGATCCCGTAAAAAAACAAAAACATTTTGAAGCAGCCTCGAGGTTTGAGGGGTTTGAAGGGCCCAGATGTCTAACGTCGCTTTCGGATCCCGTAAAAAAACATTTTGGAGCAGCCTCGAGCAAGCCCCTTCTGGCAAGTTTCGAGGCTTTCGAGTGGCTGGCCAAACGAACTGCGGGGCAGGATGGCCGGCAAATTTGTAACGGTTGCAAAGCTTTGCAAGTGGCCTGTCGCTATGCCGGTCGCGCCAATCATAGACTCGCGCGCCTCCGCGCCCGCGCCGCACAGAACCGTCTCCACGATCGATTGCCGGCGCTCCCCGCCGATGCCGTGAGGCGCCATAGTTGTCCAAGGCGCAGCTTCTCTACAAAGGGGAGCTCTAGTTGTTAGTTGTGTTGAGGGCTTGGTTCCAGTGATGCTTTTACATCAGCCTACCCGTCCACATGTTTCAGCAACTCTTGGCTCCGCTATGGCGTGGCCATGGCCTGTTTGGCGCCCATCCCTCCCACCCACGCTTGCTTACCCAGCTTGCGCACAGACAATGGTCTATAGGTCAAGGCTTACTTCTGGTATTGGGGCGCAATAGTTACGTTTCTTGAGCATTGAGGTTCTTGCTGCTGGTATTGTGCACGCTTGTACCCAAGGAAAAATGTAAACATTGCATGTGCCTCTTTACTCTATATATACTTAGATAAAACTCCACCTTTCTACAACGTATACACACACACACTTAGCGTAGCGTCTTGCAAGCCACCACAAGCTAAACGTCGACAGATTGGTTCTTACAAAAGAATGTGTTTTCCACGTGTCCCAGGGTCTTGGTTTGGTCTCAAGTTTCGCGCCCTGAAAGCGCTGCCATACACGTGTTTTCAACCCCTGCGGGCAGAGCTCTCTGCGTGAAACTTCGGAATGGGGGTTCCAGCTTGTGAAAAGCAAAGAGGTAGAACACGCGTTCTCCTAAACAATTGTGTGTTTTTTTCTTCGGCTGGGTCTACCTCTTCCACTGACCCAGCTCCAAGCTCTCAAGGTTGCTTGCTTTGGTCCTGGCCGCTGGCCAACTTCGATTTGTTTAGAGACAAGTCAAAGCGTTGGAAGTAGGGCCTGCATTCCTTTTGACCAAAAAAACATGAACCCAAAAGACATGAACAGCCAGTTTGGAAATTTGAAAAGCATATGGCCAGTGAGTTGCGCGCTCGGTGGCTCAGCACTTTGACCGGGACCGTCGCGTGTCTGCTTTGCAAGCTTCTGCGCAGCAATGGCCCTTGTTCTCGCGGAAGCAAAACCATGGAAATCAGTTAGAAACTCTGCTGCGTTGAACTTGCAAGTGGGTTAAGGGGGCGTTTGTTGTGTTGGGTTTTGGTTCTTTCCCTATTGGTGTTTTGTTTGAGGAGCTGGAAAGATTTCTTGGTGTGAAGATGATGTGGCACCTTGGCGCAAAAGTCTCTGGGGCAGTGGAGTGAAGACATGTGGTGCACTTCTGTGAGTTGTGTTTTTGTTCTCTCAGGCATCAAAGTTTGATGCCATTCAGGTCAGATTGGCCAACAAGTGGCGCGAACTTGTGCCACGATCAGCTCTTGATATGATCTTGGGCAATCGCCTCCCAGCCGGCACGAAACTGGTAAACTTGGCGTCCGAGCTTACAACTCCTGGCGTAGAGGATTTTTTTTTGAAGCTATGCGATATGTCAAAGGTCGTTGCTGTTACATGTCCTATGGTGAGTTGTCTATCTAACTTCTCAGCAGTGATTAGCGTACTGTGCAGGAGCTTTCCTCGAACTTCGTGTGGCTTCGCCCGGTCTGTGAAGAGTTTCCAACTCGGGTATGGTGCTCAAAGCGTTGACGGAATGACATGTTGTGGAAACAAACCTCTTGGATCACACATTGGGTGATTTATTTTTTTTGAGGTGCCGTCTGGATTCCTTCTTACTGATGCATTTCTGATGTTGGATAAGCTGTTTGAGAGCCGCCTGCTGGTCCCTCTGGAGCAGCAGACGAAAGCGGACGCAGCCGGAGTTGAGGGGCGGAGATTGAAGCGATGCATGGGCTCTCTTCGCCATTTGTTTCGGAACAGTTCCTTGCTGATTGGTTTGTTTTTCCTTCCTTGATGCCTGTGACTGTGAAACGATTCTGTTATGCAATTTGTGTTTAGGCAGTTATAGTTGGACATCCATTGCTTCGGCGCACAGGCCCCAATGATAGCATCGACGACCGCGTGGCTGAGCTGAAATCTTTATTGCGGAAGTCTCCAGACCCACGACATCGTCGGGCCTGCTGGGCTGTGGGAGTTTGATGTGTGTGTAGTTGAGAAAACTGTTCACTGAGAGCTTGTGTTTGTTGATTCATTCTGCGTCCTGCGCAGGGTGGCCACTATGAGGATTTTGTGCCTTCGCCTGAACCCATTGCTGAGGGCGCTGATGATGCTTTGATGGAGCCTGTTCAGGGTGGTGAGGTCGTTGATCTTGAGCCTCAGGATGAGGCTGCTATGCCCGACAGTGAGCCCGACACTGAGGATGAGGCTGCCAGTGACCCACCTAGCCCTCCTGAAGCTGAGACGCCGCCAGTTCCTGTTTTGACGGAACAGGAGAAACTTAAGAAATACTGGTCGAGGTTTGTGGTGCCCAAGTTTGGGGGCAGCTTGGATCAGGCTGATTCAAAGCCCTCATGCCCTGAGCCTGTTTTGCCAAACGAAGGATTGGAGGAGCCTTCTGGCGAGGACTCTGATGTTGTTGAGAGCGACATTGCGGCCAGGTCTGATTCTGAAGCCACTTTGGTTTTGGGACAGGAAAATATGCCAGGCAGCTCCAAAGATCGTCCTCGTCTGCACCGATCTCTGGCCACGGAGTTTGAAGGTTGTTGCTCTTCTTCCGGATCGGAGAACTCCCCTCGCGATGGCCCGGTTGAGGAGGACTCTGACTCTGACTCTGATGCAAGTGTGCCTGACCTCGCTGCGCCTGAGGAGTTTGAATCGGCCATCATGGAAGGCAGCAAGGTCACGCACAAGAAGGCGAACTATCAAACAGTGTTGTTTCCTGTTGTTTGGTTGAAGTGTTTGCTTCATCGAAAAAGTCGTCAGACAGCATCAATCGCTGGTTGTGCACGAGGCGGTGGAATCTGCTCCAGCGCCTGTCAACATGGTGACGCCCAAAGTTGAGCGACCTCACTTCTGGGGGTTTCCATTGGTCCCCACACCTGAGAAAACTGAAGCCGCTAGGCTGTCTGTGCAGGTGACCAATTGTTTTTTGCTCTAACATGTGTCTTGGAATTTGCGCCTTTGCAGGTTTTCTTTTTCGATCCATTCTCCCAGGCCCCTGCTCGCCGCCAGAAAGTCAAGAATGAGAAGGGCAAGAAGAAAACTTCCAAGGCCAAAACCAAGGCCAGTTTTCATCATTCTGCCAAGCAGAAGGGATTGAAGGCTAAGAAAACGACAGGCGCTCCTGTGGAGCCTCAGCCTGAGCATGTGTTTTGCGGGTACGATTTGTCCCCACTTCCGTTGGAAGCGAGGCCTGATTTCAGCAAGGGTAACAAGGGTCAGCATTCCCTCACTTTGAAGGATAGTGCGGATAGTGGAGGTGCCTGCGTCGAAGTTTTGCTTCGCCATGAAGCATATTTTATCAAGAAGATGCGACCTGATTTCCCTGGACCATACGGCCAAATCAGTTGGTCCAAGCACGGAGGCCCACATGAGGCCTGGGAACTCGTTAAGGAGCGCGCGGGGTTTGATCGCTCAGACTAGAAAGGGGTGTTCCAGCATTTGGTTTTGCTAGGTAGTTAGCGCTAAGGTTTCCTTTGTGAATTTCATGGCTAGCTCGTTTGGCACAGTTTGTTTAATCATGTTTGTTCTGAGGAACCCCTGTTGTGGTAGGGTATGGTAGGGTGCAGTCATTGACTGAACAATGACAGCTGGGGTTCAGCTGAGTGTCATAGACAGCAGGGTGTAGGCGCCAGGCTACCGACATTCAGCTATGCTTATATCGCCAGTGCCCGTGAGCAGATTTTATCTTGCATACACGGTGCTTGAATCGCATCAGCTTTTCCAAACTTCCAAACTGGCTGTTTCATGGGAAAATCCAAGCGGGGATTGGTGCTCTCATTGAGCTTTTGATGAAGGCTCTGCGCTCCAAAAAAGAGCTTGAGACTCTTCACCAAGTTTGCCTTGAAAGAGTGTTCACTCTTCACCAAGTGTGTTGTTCTTTCATTGCAACTCTGCCGCTCTGGCTTCCACTTGTGTGCATTCTTTGTTTTTGGAGAGCCAGGTCCAAACCCAGCTTTCTATCGAGAGATCTTGGTGCTCCGTTCAACGACAGGAATCAAGCGGCAAGAACAAGTAATCAAGTCCAAGCCCTATAGTCTCGACACTACTGTAAACTAATGCCTCGAAGCCCACTGTAGATGTTACTTAGCAAAGAAGTCAAAGTCCTATACAGTATATATATATAGATAGGTGTCACAAGCTAGGGTTTGACTTTGGTCATCTCCTTCGTCCTGGGGGTGCGTGGATGGAGGTGCGGTTTGAATGCGGTTTCCCTTCCGGAGTCCTCTGCCTCCAGCAATCGATCGTGTTCAGGTGTCGATTCGATGATGGCCTCAGCGGGCTCATCCATCAATTGGAGGCACATCTCAAGTCTTTTCACTATGACAGTATTCCTTTACAACAGCTCATTTGTTGCGAGGGAAGTTTGACCCATACCATTGTCTAGGCTCAGGGGTTCCTTTAGCTGTTGGTGCTTGGAGGTTGCGCTAGCGCTAGCCGTCCTAAGTCATGGGAAAGCGTTGCGAGCCGAAACCCAAAAAGTGTGTTCGAGAGCTGAAAAGTTCAGCTCCGGCCGCATTGGATCCAAAGTTCCGGTCAATGACTACGGCTGCGAAGCAGAGGAGGTGGACCATGCAGGGGTTGCTGCGACTCAAAGCTCCGAAGGTGCCATGACTTGCAGTTCAGGTCTACACAAAACGAACCTACCAAACAAGTATATATAAACAAATTATATGTGTGTTTGGGGTTTGGGGTGCTGCTATTTGGTTCCAGTATCTCTCCACCCTTGATCAGCTTCCCCACGATCCCATGAGGTGTTGGCGGTTCTGGTGGGATGGTCTTCTCGCTGCCGGGACTGCAGTGGAAGACGGTGGACCATGCTGAGTTCTTTTCGGGCAAAATGCAGGTCACTCTGCAAGACATGAAGGAGGGGATGGAATATTCAAGAGATGTGCTTGTGATGTGCCTGTACAACAAACCCAAAAGAGCGAACTGACCAAATCTACTGTAGCCACTTGGGGTTTTCTGTTACTTCTGTAGACCCAATGTGGTTAAATAACAAAAAACAAGCCGGTGACTCTTCAGGAGAACAACCACAGGTGCCTTGTGTACGACCGGGACTATGACGGCAGGTTCATGGACATATTGTCGCCCGAAGGCTATGTCCACGCATTGTTCCAAGTGTTGCAGATCAAGCCTGGAGGAAGCTGCACACTTGCACCGGTATGTTCTTCATTTGTGTGGATGAGCCTCGTCGGGTTCAAACAGATGTTGAATGCTCCAATTCCATCAAGTCCCACCAAAAATGTAAGAATGGTGTCTATTGGGACTTGCTGAGTTGGACCAGAACTTCGCTTTTATTTCCAAGTTTTCAAGTAAAACAGGGTGGTTCATACCCCATGACCCAAAATGCCTTAGCCTGCAACTTGGTTCTGGGTTCCCACGCTTCATCCGAGATCTTCTGGCACCACGAAGAGAAGCCGGACCTCAC